TCATGGTGGTCACCATGGAGACCGTGGTGGTCATGGTTACCCTGGAGACCGTGGGGATGCTTCTCCTGGTCATGGCTGCCATGGAAACTGTGGTGGTTGCTATGGAGACCGTGGAGATGCTTCTCATGGTGGTCACCGTGGAGACCATGGTGGTCATGGTTACCATGGAGACCGTGGTGGTTGTGGTGGTCACCGTGGTGACCGTGGTGGTTGCCATGGAGATCCTTCTCGTGGTTGTGGTTGCCGTGGAGACCGTGGTGGTCGCCGTGGTGACCGTGAGGATGTTTCTCATGGTCGTGGTCGCCATGGTGACCGTGCGGATGCTTCTCCCCGTGGTGGTTGCCGTGGAGACGGGAGCCGTTGCCGTGGAGACGCAGCTGCAGCTCCAGGGCTCCGATTTTCCTCTGCAGGGCCTCGCGCAGCCCCGAGGAGTTCCGGTTCTGCCCAAAAACACCCGAAATTACAGCCAGAAATGGCTCCAAAACCACCCGAAATTACACCCGGAAATCATCCCAAAATCACCTGAAATTACACCCGGAAATCACCCCAAAAACACCCAAAATTACCCCAAAATTACACTGGGAATCACCCCTAAATCACCCAAAATTACACCCAGAAATGACTCCAAAAACACCCAAAATTTCACCCGGAAATCATCCCAAAACCACCCAAAATTACACCTGGAAATCACCCCAAAAACACCCGAAATTACACCGGAAATCACCCTGAAATCACCCGAAATTACCCCAAAATTACACCGGGAATGATCCCAAAAACACCTGAAATTACACCCGGAAATCACCCCCAAAATCACCCGAAATTACACCGAAAATCATCCCACAACCACCCAAAATTACACCCGGAAATCACCCCCAAAATAACCCGAAATTACACCGAAAATCATCTCACAACCACCCAAAATTACACCCGGAAATGACCCCGAAGTGACCCAAAAATGACCCCACAGTGACCTCAGGAGGCCCCTCCCCCTTCCCTTTAGCCCCTCCCCCTTTAACCCTTTCCTCACCCCCTTTTAACCCTTTCCTTCCCCCTTTAGCCCCGCCCCCTTTATCCCCTTTGGCCCCACCCCTTATCCATCCCATTTAGCCCCGCCCCCTTTAGCCCCGCCCCCTTAGCCCCG